TTTCCCATAAGGTTCAATGTAATTACTGTTAATCTGTTCTGGCATCCGCGGACCACACGTCAGGGGTGGGAAAACGGCCGGGCGCCGCACAGCGCGGCGGGAAAACGGCCGGGCGTGGCGCGGTGCGGCGCGGTGGGAAAACAGCTACGGACCACGTGTCAGGGGCGGGAAAATGGCCGCGGACCACGTGTTAGGGCGGAAAAATGGCCGTACCCCGAGGCGGAGTTTGCACATCGAGGTAAATTTTTGCGGCCGGAGCTGGTCATAACCCGAAAAGTTCGTTAGTAGAGGCGTTCGTATCCCGAGGTACCACTGTAGTCTCCCATTGTTAGGGCGGAAAAATGGCCGTACCCCGAGGCGGAGTTTGCACATCGAGGTAAATTTTTGCGGCCGGAGCTGGTCATAACCCGAAAAGTTCGTTAGTAGAGGCGTTCGTATCCCGAGGTACCACTGTAGTCTCCCATCCAAATACTAACCAGGTCCAAACCTGCTTAGCTTTTCAAAATCAACCACAGATGGTTTGGTGCTGCCATCTAGCCAGGTGAAATAATAAGGCATCCTTTAAAAGAAAGAAAAGGCATTTGTCTTTGACAATCCATGCCTCCTGCATAGGATACCATTTAATTCTTTACAACAACAGCCTTTCAGTGTATAAAACCAGTGAATTGGCCAGAGCTTCAATGTTTCTCAAGAATAATAACTGTAGTCTGAAACAGACCTGCCTCCTTCTCCTTTCTGACTGGCATCACTCACTGAAGTTGTTACATGTCTTTTATGAACAGAATGAGACACATTTAAATAGTAGTTGGACTTCGATAACTCCTAGAGTGGATGAATATTTTGTAAGTTATATCAACTGCAATAACTTAATCTAAAGAGGAGTACAACATTTTAGCAATGCATTAAAACAGTCAGGCAGGAGAAAATTTCTGACAGAGGCAATTCTTTTACCTGATCTCCTTCTCCAGTATGTTGATCACGTGATGTCTTTAGAGCCACATCGCTATAGTAAGCATATGAGACCTCAAGATCCTGTGGATAATTATTAATGCCTTGGTAGTGCTTATAGCCAAGGTTCATCAAAGCCAGCCGGTCACCTTGTTGAGCTGCAACCAAACTGTAGAGCAATCCCTGGAAGTAATGAACCAATTGGAACATAAACTTACTCATCACTAGTGACGCTTGCAGGTGAAACCCAGAAAAATAACATAATGTTATATTGCAAGTAGCAAACTCAGAAGCATAGAAGTAGGACTCTTCACTATTGCCTTGGTAGGTAGGACTGCCGAGAGTTACAATTCAATACTATCTGGAAGACCCCTGGTCCTTCACCCCTGTTGTAAACGCTGCCTAAAATCTTGACTGCAGACCTTTGGAAACGGAGTATCAAGACTGATTGTGTCAGAGTCTGCACACTCAATCCCAAAATTCAGTAAATCCTCTGGAGACCAAAAGTTC